ATATATACATATATAGTGTGCGTGTGTATGTATGTATCCACATAGGGTGTTCTAGACTTACGAGAGCATCTCTCTTATGAGCAAGTTAGGTAAAACTTAACTTATAGAGTGAATTAAAAATGACGGAGTCAAAAAATTCTCTATTTTACAATTTTTGCAATAGTTAACAAGATATTGATTTTAAAAAATCACAGTTTACTGCTAAATACAAGCGCATAGCGAATAATACCATCATCATAGGTTTGTTAGCAGGGTAGCTAAAAATCATGTTTTAAATTGTTTAAGACATACTTAATCGATGTTTTTAACATGTTTTTTTACAATATTATTTAAAGCATATATGAAGAATTAAAAATATATTTGAAAAAAAAAATTATCTCTTATCAACTCTGCTAAGCACACGAGGAATTGTTTACTACAAACGACAAAAGAAAATATTTCCCCATATTGAGCACTTGCATTTGATAAGCACCGGATACTCACTTATTTGACGATCTTTAAAAATTAATATCTTATTGATTATATAGATCTACAAAAAAAGTACCCTGTACTGGGATGGAGATCCAGCTATTCTTATGTATTTTGAATCGCTAAATATGAATCTGACATAAAAATAGAACCATTCAGGGCAAATTTTTGTTCTAGATTGAAAATTTGCCTTGGATAGTTCTATTTTTATGTCAGATTCATATTTAATGACTCAAAATACATAAGAATAGCTGGGTCTCCACCTCAGCACAGGGTACTTTTTTTTGTGGGCCTGTGTTATTGCAAAAATTCCAAAATGATAGAGACCTCAATTTAGTACGTTACATCTGCTCATAGGAGATGATCTCGTAGGTCTGGGATATCCTATATATACACACACAATTGACATAATAAGTACATATTCATTCTAATTATAAAATTTTCTTTTTAATGATTATACTTTTCGATTAATTTAGATTTTTTTATCAATTTCTAATTTGTTTATAAATTGCAGTTTTATGATGATGTAAACAAACAAAATAGTAAATTACAATTAAAGTTTTAATTAAACTTAATTTTAATTTTTTAAATTTAAGTTTATGTGAGAGAGTGTATACGTTTATATTTGCTTTATTATCTTTTTTGCAATCAGAAAAGTATAATCAAGTAAGAGGTTTTATTAACTGAATTGCTAGAGAGAGGGGAGAGAGAGAGAGAGAGAGAGAGAGAGAGAGAGAGAGAGAGAGAGAGAGAGAGACAGAAGAGATAATCTGTAAAATGCTTTAATTTAATTTAAAAATCTACGTAAGTAAAAGATAATCTTTTATTACAATTTCACAACTTGTAACTTCCAAAATGTACATGTAATAATTACTGTTGATATGTCGACTAAAATAAATAATTAAAAAACTTATTAATCTTATTTTTTTAATACAATTAAATTTTTTTATTATAATATGTTTTAATTAGACAGATTTATTTATAAAAAATATCATGATAAGAGATACTTTGTATAATATTTACAAAGTTCTGAAAGTGTAGAATAAATGTAGAACAATTGCACATAATACTAATTTATTTTGAAGAAATAAGATGCGTGTCTTAATCAGATTATCTATTGAAATTATATTTAAATGATTTTCTATAATCATCAATAGCGTATATAAAATACCTGTAATATTTAACCATAACTGAAGAAGATAAATGCTACATTTATCTTCTAATGCTACATTTCAGTATGAGAATTAAAATTTAGATTAGATAGATGAAAGTAAAAACTATCCTGAATTATATTTCAGATATATATATATATATATATAAATTATATCAATTTTTTATATAAAAAATCAAATGTTAATTAGCAATTAAAAAAGCTGCATCATACTCGTAAAGGATACAACGAAAACATATTTTTTAAAATACATTATTCTCCGACATTTTTCTTAAATATTTTTCCTGATGACGAACAACTACCTCCCTATGATATGCAATATATATTGAGTACCTTTCTTTTTCTTTCTGATTTTCAATGATATTATCCAACGTTATTTGAGCTGCGTTTCGATATTCACTGCCATCGAAAATCTATAGTATACGTTATATGCACTACTGATTTACAACACAGCAGTGAATACCGGAAAAGTAACGATAATATTTTATTCGTAGGAAAACGTGTTCATCCACACACACACACACACATTGCGCGCGCGCGCGCACACACCGACACGCGCGCGCGCGCGCGCGACGACACACACACACACACACACACACACAAGATTTAATACTGATTTATTATATGGGATGTCATAAGTCTTATAACTATATACACAGATTAAAGTTCTCGATTCAAATATTATAATGTACAATTTATTTTGCATATACTTTATGCTACAATTATTTAAGCAAGGTCTTTCGAGTGTGTAGAGAACTAATGAATGTTGTTTTTTAAAACAATTAATTTTAACATTTCTCATCCTAATTTTATCTTGCTTGTAGCAATTCATCGAAATTTAGTTATTAATTTATTAATTTAAAAATTGTTCGTACTTCATCAGTAGAAATTTAAAAAGATTTTCAATACGCACAATGGCCTATTTAATCAAAAAGTTATTGTGCCTTCTCTATTTATAGAAAAATGTACCAGGAAACTTACATACATTAATCCTTAATCCATAATATCGGTTTATAATAATGTTAAATCTTTGTTGTTTTTTTTTATTATAATAATTCATCTTTTTGACGATAGGTCTGTTCTTTATCCTTGCACTATCTGAACTGGTGCACACGGTGCAATAAATTGAAGCGAAATATACGTTTGTGTCGCTTTAACTTATTGCACTGATCTATTATGTTATAGTTATTATTGTATATTTAAAAAACGATTCGTTTTTAAAAAGTGAAAGAAATCGCATTGTACGTTTATAAATAATTTGATTCAGTATAATACATATATTTTATTATATACAAAGGAATTTGTTACATAAAATTCTTTATCGTCATACATGTAGGACATGTGATAGCGAATTTTTTAAGATATTTTTCGATTAACCCTTAACCCGATTGTTCTAGAATTTTTTCACTTAAATTTTTACGCCATACTGATTACTTTTTTAATGTTGCACATGTATGTCTATTTGTTATAACAATTTAACAATTTACATTAACAAAATAATGCACGTAGCAATAATGTTTTTCAAAAATATCAATATTAGATACATAGAACAATAATAAATGTATAGAAAAATATATTTATATTATATACATGTATATATAAATTTCAAATTGAACTTTTATGTCGAAAAATAAAATTTCTGCTGAATATTTTACTATATAATAAATAATATCTTTGTATGGAACATATATATATATATATATATATATATATATA